ACATCTCCACAAGGGCAACTCAGAGATTTTTATGACAACACTGGCAGAAATTGACAAGATTGTGGATGACAAAAGACAGCAAGAACAAGATGAAGAACTGGAAAGTATCCAGCAGAAGCTTCCAGGCCAGTATGAAGAGTTTGCAGATGTTTTCAGCAAGATAGCATCTGACAACCTACCACCACCACAGGAGGTTGATCACCAGCTGGACCTTGAAGGAGATCCTTCCAAGACAGTTGGATACAGCCTGTTGTACAAGATGTCCACAGAGGAACTGGAGGCTGCCTGGGAATATATCATTGACAATTTGAACAAGGGCTTCATTGTGCCCAGCCAATCTCTGTATGCATCACCAATCTTGATGGCAAGAAAGCTGGGTGGAGGCCTTTGGTTTTGCATGGATTACCAGAAACTGAATTCAATTACCTGCAAGGATCGATACCCCCTACCTCTGATTGATGAAGTCTTAGAATGGATCTCCCATGTAAAGGTGTTCACCAAGCTAGACATCAGACAGGGCTTTCATTGCATTTGAATGCACCCTGACTCAGAGGAGCACACCACTTTCTGGACCTGATATGGTTCATACAAATACAAGGTAATGCCCTTTGGGTTGACCAATGGACCGGCAACTTTCCAGCAGTTGGTAAATGATATCTTCATGGACATGCTAGATGAGTATGTCACAGCATTTGTGGATGACCTCCTCATCTATAGTGTAAATGAAGCAGAACATGAACTGCATGTAAAAGCAGTCCTCACTTGACTACATGCAGCTGGTCTGCAGGCCAGTCTCCATAAGTGTGAGTTTCATGTTACCAGGACCAAGTATCTTGGCTTCATCATCACCACAGAAGGGGTAGAGGTGGATCCAGAAAAGGTAGCTACAGTGCTCTGGTGGGACTGGCCCAACACTGTAAAAGGAGTACAATCCTTCTTAGGATTTTGCAACTTTTACTGATGGTTTATTTATGGATATAGTTGCATTGCGAAGCCACTGAACCAACTAACAAAGAAGGAGATCCCATTCTGCTGGACCCCAGAGTGTGAGGAGTCCTTCCAGCAGCTAAAGCAGAACCTTGCAACTGCTCCAGTACTGACACACTACTGTCTGGAGCTACCAACACAGCTGGAGACAGATGCCTCTGACAATGTGGTAGCAGCAATCCTATCACAGCTGAGCCCAGAGGATGGACTGTGGCACCCTGTGGGATACCTTTCATGGTCAATGACCCCTGCAGAGCAGAACTATGAAATTCATGACAAAGAACTACTTGCTATCATTGTAGCACTGAATGAGTGGAGGCCTGAACTAGAAGGACTACAGAGGAATGACTGATTCCACATCTTTTCAGACCACCAAGCTCTACAATACTTTATGACAACTAAGTGGCTCAATGCTTGACAAGCCTGCTGGGCAGAGTTCCTGTCAAGATTCCACTTCCTCATCAAATACCAGACAGGAAAGATGAATGTTTGTGCAGATGCCCTGACATGACAGGAGCAGGATGCAAATGTACCAAAGGACCACTGCAGCCAGATCTTGTTGCGTTGTCAGTACCTGGAGGCTCAGATCCTTGAGGAGCTTGCTCAAACACAGGCAAAGAGCAAGCCATCAGGTGGAGAAGGAGATGAGACACCAGGTGCAGGACTGAAGGTGATGGATTCCCAACTCCACCTCATTGACCGCATCTGCCAAGCAAACTGCAGATGGGACCAAGAGCAACAGCAGGAAAGAGGAGAACTGGAACTGCCATGGACAAAGGAAGGAGGACTGCTTCTCCACCAGGACTGTTTATATGTGCCTGACCAGGATGACCTGTGAGTCAAACTGCTGGATGAGATCCACCAACAGCTGTCAACTGCACACCCAGGGAAGACAAAGACCAAGCAGCTCCTGAAGGAACGCTATTACTGGGAAAGTTGGAGCTGTGATGTAGAATGCTATGTGGACAACTGCATGACATGCAAGAGGACCAACACTCAACATGATAGGCCCCTGGGACTCCTTAAGTCACTGCCAGCTCCAAATTGACCCTGGCAGCACCTGTCAATGGACTTCTGCTCCCTCCCAAAGGATAAGAAAGGATTCAACTGCATCTTTGTGATTGTGGACTGCTTCAGTAAATGGTACATCTCACTGCCCTGTCACAAAACCACTGGAGCAGAGGACATGGCAAAGCTGTTTATTGAGCACATCTATTGATGGAAGGGCCCTCCAGACACTATAGTCTCTGATCAGGGAGGCCAATTTGTCTCAGAATTCTGGAAAGCAATATGCAATGTACTGGGTGTGAAGCTGAAGCTCTCAACTGCTGACCACCCACAAACAGATGGACAGACAGAGAATGCAAATCAAATCATTGAACAGCACTTACACCCATTTGTGAATCATTACCAGGATGACTGGTCAGAAAAGCTCCCCATGATAGACTTCACTGGTGCACTATTGGTGGGTGAGTCCACAGAAACTTCTCCTTTCCTCATTGACAGTGGCTACACCCCCAGGACATCTTTTGACTGGATATCAAACCTTAATGGAACAGTTACAGAGGTGAATGCCCAGCAACAACTACAACAATTACAAGAGATATGGGACTGGGTGCAAGAATGAATCTGCACTGCCCAGGCACGCCAACAGCAGAATGCAAATTGCTCAAGGCAGGAAGTGGATTTCAACATAGATGACATGATAATGATATCAACAAAGAACTGGAACACAGGCTGTCCAAGCAAGAAGCTTGACTATCAGTGGGTGGGCCCTTTCCAGATCCTTGCAAAGGAAGGAAACGCATTCCACATCAACCTGCCAGCCTCTATCAAGGTCCACCCAGTTATCAATCCAGAGCACCTCTGCAGGGCCTCCACATCTGAACCCCTTCCTGGCCAGCATGCAGACGAACCACTGCCAATCACTGTCAATGATCAAGATGAATGGGAAGTGGAGGAGATCCTTGCCTCCCAACTGAGATACCGAAAACTGCAGTACCAGGCAAAGTGGATCAGTTATGATGATGACCTGAACTGGTACCCTGCCTGAGACTTCAAGAACAGCCCAGTAAAGCTGCAGGTCTTCCATGCAGCGAACCCAGAGGCACCAGGGCCACCCTGTCGATTGCTTGACTGGCTCCGCGCAGCAGAAGATGAGGAGTTCCTGGATGACCACCAGGATGATGATTATCCAGTTTCAAAGGACTGAGGGCAGCCCTTCATCGGGAGGAGGGGGTAATGTCACGGAGCATAGACATTCACTGAGCATGGACAGTCACTGAGCCTCGCTTAAACCCTTC